TGTGTGTGTGTGTGTGTGTGTGTGTGTGTGTGTGTGTGTGTGTGTGTGTGTGTGTGTGAGCGTAAGTGTAATATATTATATGCATATAATACAGTGTTAATGAATACATGTATTACTAATAAATGTGGCGTTTTGTCTTATTCCCCCTGAAAAGATCCTGTGCAGTACTTTAAGTACAACACTTTGAAGTACTTTGAGAGAGGAGGATTTCAAAAAGAGTTAAACATTTAAGACTCGAATAAGATGGAGCCTAAATAATTGTATAAGGAAAGGAATTGATTGGCTTAAATTAAAGAACTCTGAAAACTATACCTACAATGTTAGAGAAACGCCACATTTTCAAAGCATAAGGCAAACAATTGATCAATCCTCACAATGCTCCTGTGAGGCAAACAGACAGGCATCACTCTCTTCTTTTTACAGATGTTGAAAACTGAGGTACAGAAGTTACTGTAGATTAATTATCCAAGGCCATACAGCTGAAAACTATGTAATTCTGAATCTTAACTTGGCATAATATGGAAATGGAAACACTACTCTGTGCAATCACGCGCACCCATACTATAGCTGTTACCTATCAAACAAAATAAAATGCACCACTATAATCTATTCACATGCACATCAGAACTCCACCTATACTGCATGATATGTTGATAATAGTTAAACTACTACAAATTTGGCATAAAACAAACTGCTGGATTTAGTTTACATATACCTCCCTATATACCTAAGGTTGCGATAATCCTATTTCATACTGTCTTCCAAGCAAACATTTGCTCCCATTTGATCAGTTCAAACAAAGTTTCAACTATACAATAACAGTTTCTTACCTTATAGTAACTGATTCATCAAGATGTTCTGTGCATGTGGATCCCACTCAGATGCAGCAGGTGTATATACACCCTGGGCGAGAGCCACATGCGCAGAGACTCAAAAAAGAAATCAATTTTCTTGTATAAGCCAAATTCAGGATTTTGCACAAAAAAGCTTTTTCCAGCTTCTCTCTCCCTGAAATCAAGAGTTGCTGACCAATACTCAAGGCTCACAAATAATCCCAAACAAATTATCTCTAAATTCTGTTCAATTTGCTGACCTATACTAGAACAGAAATATACAGATTAAAATTCATGGATAGTCTTGGAACACATCTGTTAAAAATATACTTTCAGTGACTTATTGCAAGTCAACGATTAAACACTATGTTATGTCTTGTATAAATCATTACAAACACAATACGGCCACAGTTGTCTTTCTGATGGCCCAAGGGTGTGTCATGAAAAGCCATATTCTTTACTGCATTTGAGACTGCCCTATTACCATCAATTTTTGGTCCTAATTTCAACGTGTATCCCCTTAAGATTACAGGCAAAAACAGCACCACTGCACCAGAATTTTAGCTTTGTCAGTGATGTTACTTTATTTTCCCACTGGAGTTTTTCCCATAACTAAAGTGCCTTTTTTCTCGGACTGAAAACAAAAAAAACCCTGATAAATTAGAAGTGCAATTCCAATGGAACAAATACACACTGCCAGGGAACAAGTTTCAGATGTGCTTAAGATGCAGAGAGCATTTGTATACTGGAGTGTTTTTTTCAAAGCTGCACCAGTACCTCATGTTAATAGGTTAAAAGAGCAGCATAATACCCATTTCTTAGAATTTACAACATGAGCTCTACACATCATCTATGGAGTGCTACAGAAACAAACACCACTCCAGAAGATTACACCATGGGGAAATCAAACACTAGCAGACAAAGGATCTCTCCTCTTCAGTAGAGCTGTCCGGAGACAACAATTCCATTCCATGGCAAACTTTCTAAGGTTTAGAATTTGTTTTCATTCCACATTGGAACAAAACAGAAACCTTTCCATTGTTTTTGAAAAACAGAATTCTGTCAAAATATCCACTGTGGGTTCGAAACCTGAGCTGAGGATGAGTATACTCTCACCTTTTACAGCCTGGTGGTTATGGCTCTGGTTGGGGAAGTAGGAGAATCAGATTCATATCCCTGCTCTACCTGATTTGGAGTGATCTTGGATGAAAAAAGTCTAAATCAGGCAAAGCAGGGATTCGAACCTGGGTGTCCCACATCCCAAGCCAGTAGCATAAACATCACCAACCTACAAAGTATGTTAGTCTCTTTCTTGTTAAAAGTGACCAAAGAACCCTGGACCGCAAAAACTTTCCCCATGAAAATTTCTTCAAAATTTATGTGTGTTCATGAAACATTTCAGCTCTGCAAAAACCCAGCATATTTTTGACCAGCTGGTGAGCTACTCAATAATACAAGGAAGAAATATATTTCTCCCCAAGGACCAGTGTAAAGTTATGAAATATAATTCATAGAAGCAGCAAAAAAACAAGAAAGTGGGACATACTTAGTAATAATGGTGACTAACCCCTCCCCCCCCCCCACACGCACAGATCACAGCTACTGTAGAGAATTAAGAATTAAATCCTCTTTCCCCCCTCCCCCCTAAAGCATTACTATGTTGAGACCATTTAGGTCAAGGGGAGTTAGGTCAGGCTCTTAGCGAGATACTGTTTCTGTCATCTCTATTAGAAGAACTAACCCAATATGATAAAGCCTAAAGTGCATTCTAAGGCCATATACTGCAATTGTTACCTTACTAGCTATGCTTCACAGCATTCAAATATTAAAACCCAAGAAGCCCTCTACAGCAACCCCAATTAAGATTAACAAAAGGGCTGTGACTCAGATTATATTTCAGTAACTATCAGATTTTTACGGTTATTACACAAGCTAAGCATGTTTAAATCATTTTTAAAAGATATTGGATGATTGCTATGGTTCTGGGGTTGGGTTTTTTTTATTTTTATTTTTTGTTACTTTGACTCTTCAAACAAGCATTCATGCTTCAGTTCACATCTACTAGAAGATTTAGAACCCAGTCCAAGATCAACTGCAATTTTAGGAAGAGGTCCTGCTTCAGTGTTCCACTTTAATACAATTATGCTTCATTATCCCTTACATGATCACGAGTGTCATAAGAATTGAAAGGTGGTGTGACAGTGTACCCCATAAGGCTTTATGGGGAGGGGGTGCTTATAAATGTATGTATGACATAACTGGAATAT